TCGTGCTCTCCGTGACATTGCTTGAAGGCCTTTTTTCTATAGTTTTCAGGCCCTCATCATGCCTACCTCTTTTTAAAAAAAAAAAAAAAAATGTTTTTGCCTGGCCAGGCGTGACTCAGCGGTTGAGTATCGACCTAGGATCCAGGAGATCGAGGTTCGATTCCCGGTCAGGGCACATGCCCGGGTTGTGGGCTCGATCCCCAGTCGGGGGCGTGCAGGAGGCAGCTGATCAGTGACTCTCTCATCATTGATGTTTCTCTCTTTCCCTCTCCCTTCCTCTCTCTCTGAAATCAATAAAGATATATTTAAAATAAATAAATAAATAAATAAATAAATGTTTTTATTGACTTCAGAGAGAGGAAGGGAGAGGAAGAGAGAGAGAAACATCAATGATGAGTCATTCATCGGCTGCCTTCTGCACACCCCGTATTGGGGATCGAGCCCGTAACCCGGGCATATGCACTGACCGGGAATTGAACCACTGAGCCACACCAGCTGGGCATGCCTACCTCTTTTTCATTCTTTATGGCCAGTCTGGCTGCTTACTTTACTGGGTTCAAGACTATACATCATGATCTCTCATCTAACTCCTTTACTACTAAAATAAAGACCCTTTTCACACATTTCTCCTGCAGAATTTTTCCTTTTTCACTTTTTCTTCCCATAGGTTTTCTTCCTCCACCTTCAGAAAAAATATTCACTCTTGTCAGTGTCCAGAGGTAATCAAGAGCTGTGAGACAGGGCCCTGGCCGGGTAGCTCAGTTAGTTAGAGCATCGTCCCAACACGCCAAGGTTGCAGGTTTGATCCCCAGTCAGGGCACATAAGAAAAAGCTAATAAATGCATAAATAAGTGAACGACAAATTGATGTCCCTTTCTTTCTCTCAAATTGAAAAATAAAAATAAAAGTAAGAAGATCTGTGAGACAGATGCAGGCTAAATGAGAATACACTAGAAGGTGAGATAGATGCTAAAATAGCAACTTACCGACTTAGATGAGTAACCTGCCACGAAGAACAGAAATACATAGATGTGGTTGAGCAGTGCATTCGCTTCCTTTGGTCGAGCCACGCACAAAGCCAAATAAGAACTTGGAACCATTTTTGGTTTATTCCAAGAAATCTCTGCCATAGACACTGAAAATACCCAAAGCATCTGGGTGGTGAAATAATATAATAATAATAATAATAATAATAATAATAATAATGAGCTGTTTTTGTGCCCTCTGGGGTGGTTTCTCCTATACAGAAAAAACTATTCAAAAGTTTACTTTTAGTTTTGTCTAATGGTAGACAGTTTGTAGGAGTCCAGCCAACTATGTCCTGGGTCAAATCTGTCCACTTGGATTTGTATGGTCCATGAATTAAAAATCGTTTATACATTAATAAATGTTAGAAAAAATAGAGTGGAGAATAATATTTTGTGATGTGAAAACTGTATGAAATTCAAATATCAATGTAGTTGCCATGGAGACTCTATGTACTGCTAAGTCTAAAATATTTACTATGTCACCATTTCCAGAAAAAATTTGCTAATTCCGGGTTTAAAAGATTGGTGTTCAATTTATTAAAACAACAAATTCAAAACCTTAGTGTGTTTTTAAGGTTTTAAAAAACCAGGTGGTTACACATCCATGAAACCACCACCACCACCACAATCAAGATACAGAACATTTCTATCACCTCGACGGAAATGCTTGTGGAGCCAGAAAACCACTGATCTGCTTCCTCTCACTTTATTTTAATTTGCATTTTCTAGAATTTTATATAAATAGATTTATACGGTAAGTACTCTTTTCTGTCTGACTTTTTTTTTTTAAATCCAGCCTACAACTTTTGAGATTCATTTATGTTGTATGTATCATTAGTTTGTTCTTATTTATTGTTATGCTTTAAAAAAATAAACTTTTTCATTTTTAGTCTAAACTTTTTGTATTATGAAACACTTCAACATACCTAACAAAATGCTACAAATAGTGTATGTACCCCCATGTACATTACCCAGCTTCAACAATTATCAACTTAGGGTCAATCCTGTTTCAATCATACCTCCACCCATGAACTCCCTCCCATATTTGAAGCAAATCCTAGGCATCGTACCATTTCGCCTGTATTTCAGTATGTACTTTTTTTTATTCATAATGAAATCTAAATTTAATATTGTAAATATTACTATTAAACAAATTTGGAAGTTTACATATGTAATGTATGTCATTTTCTATTATCATAATTCCAAAGATGACATGTGGTTATGATTTCTAGAAGCATGCTTATATATGTAAAACATTTCATTTATTTTTGTCAGTATGTACTTTTATTTTTATTTTTAAAATATTTCTTTATTGATTTCAGAGAGAGGAAAGGAGAGGAAGAGAGAGATAGAATCATCAATGATGAGAGAGTCATTGATCAGCTGCCTCCTGCATACCCTCAACTGGGGATCAAGCCCACAACCCGGGCATGTTCCCTGACTGGGAATCGAACCCCGATTGCCTGGATCCCAGGTCGACGCTCAACTGCTGAGCCACGCCTGGCTGGGCAGTATGTACTTTTATTTATTTATTTATTTATAAATATATATGACTTTTGTTGATTTCAGAGAGAGGAAAGGAGAGGGAGAGATAGAAACATCAATGATGAGAGAGTCATTGATCGGCTGCCTCAAGCCCGCAACCCAGGCATGTGCCCTGACCGGGAATCGAACCCTGATCGCCTGGATCCTAGGTCAACGCTCAACCACTGAGCCATGCCCGGCCAGGCCAGTATGTACTTTTAAAAGTGTGGACTTTTTAAGAAACATATACCCACACCACCATTATAATGCCTATAACATCTTAACAATAAAAAATAAAGTTTTAGCCTGGCCGGGCGTGGCTCAGCGGTTAAGCATCGACCTAGGATCCAGGCGATCAGGGTTCGATTCCCGGTCAGGGCACATGCCCGGGTTGCGGGCTGAAGCTGATCAATGACTCTCTCATCATTGATGTTTCTTTCTATCTCTCTCTCTCCCTCTCCTTTCCTCTCTCGGAAATCAATAAAGATATATTAATAAATAAATAAATAAATAAATAAATAAAGTTTTAACAATAAAACTGGTTGTTGGATATACATAGGAATAAATGTGTTAATTGAAGAACAATGCTCTTAAATGTTCAAGCTGAGCTTAAAATTTTAAGTCCATAAATTTCAGCAATAATTTCCAGGGGTCTTGAATACTGTTTGTTTCAATTAAAAGGCTGTTAATTAAACACTGCCCAGTGTAATACAGGACCCTTTGGGGCTGGCAAACTATGGCCTAGGGCTTGCCACTTGTTTTTGTAAATAAAGTTTTATTAGAACACAGCAAGCCATGTACATTCATTTATACATTTATTATCTATGGCTGCTTTCCCAATAAATGGCACAACTGAATAGTTGTGGCAGAGACCCTCTGGCCCACCAAGCTTAAACTATTTACTATCTGGACCTTTAAGAAAAAGTTTCCTGACCTCTGCTAGAATTTCTACCTTTCATATAAAGTTATAAATTTAGTAAATTTATTTCCTTTTCAGGTACTTCAGCTACCTGACAATACATCAATCTTTTTCAAGTATTAATTTTTTTAAAGCTAATCAAATTTGGTAAACTTTAAATTCTCTTAGATGTTCTGAAACTCTGTCACCATCTCAGTAACCTGAGGTGACCTGCTGAGGGATGCAGATGCTAACCCAATCAACTGAGGTAACTTAGAGCCGAGATTTTGGTAGGACCTGAATTTTACAGTTGCAGACATGCAGGGCTTTACAGCCCCTACTGTCACACTAAGTCCCTTCTCGTAAATACTATGTAGAGGCCTTTGAGGCTTGCAGGGCACTCATTTTGGGCTCACACAGGCCGGCAGCAAGAATCCATGCATCCCTTGATTAGATTTGCATCTTTTGGTTCCTAATTTATTTCCTATCTAACTCTAAAGATCTTTAAACTCACAGGGATCTAAAAAAGTTAATTTTCATCTATCTATTTTCACTTGCAAATACTGGAGTATGTATGTCTAATATAGAGAGTATGTATCTCTACTATATTAGAACTTTAAAAAGTAACCTTAGTGCCATTAGTTCATCTAACAGAATTAAGAATTACTTGATGTCACGTAATACTCTGTTCACTCTGTTCACTGTTTATTTCTCCATTTGTCTCAAAAGGGCCTTTTTACAATTTGTTCAATCAGAATCATAATGAGGCCATATACTGTATTGCATTTGGTCTCCAATATCTTTTCACCTATCACAATCTTCCACCCCCTTTAAGCCACTGATTGTTGAAGAAACTGGTTTGTTTTCTGTAATTTCCCATATTCTGGATTTGGCTGATGGCTTCTAGGTGGTATGAAGTCTTTAAATTGTTTTCTTTTTAAATCCCTATATTTCTAGCAGGCTTGATTGTTTTTTTAAGTCAAGAATTCATTAGGCAGGTAAATATATTTTCTAACTAGCAAAGACTTGAACTTGCATTCTTTTTTGTTATTCCTAAGATATTTAAAATGGTAAACTGATTGAAATTTGGGCATCCCACATGGCTTTCAGTTGGGCTTGCAGTCACAACTCATATAATAGCTAACTCTGATTGCTAAGTGCTTTCCATGGGCCAGGCACAATGCTAACCAAGCACCTTACCTAAATGCTCATTCAATCTTCTAAACATTTTGCAGACCAGGAAACTAAAGCTTAGAGAGTTTGATAATTTAACCCAGTTAGTAAGCGACGATGCGAGCTCAGGGGTGGGATTGGAACCCCAGCTTCCTAGCACTTCTTGCTCTTAACAAGTCCATCTCTCAGTCCCGCCTCTTCCGGTTCTCACAGAGGCCTGTGGACGTCAATTACCAGGAAGTGGTCCCGCTCTGCCCCGCCCTTTTCGCCCCGCCCCCTTTCCGCCCCACCCCGCAGGGGTCCCTGGTCAGCCCGAGCGAGCGCCCGGAAAACCACACTTCCCAGAGTGCACCGCGACCACGAAGGCCTCACTACCGACGTCCGCTCGCCGGCGCCATTCCCGTAGCCGGGAACGGCGGTGCGGCCTGTGACTATGGCGCTGTTCCCGGCCTTTGCGGGCGTTAGTGAGGCTCCCGATAGCGGGAGCGCCAGGAAAGGTAAGCACGCAAAAGGCGTGAAGAAGGCACTCGGCGGGCTTAAGACGTCGTTTCTCGGCCCGCTTGATTTGGATGTTTCTCCACACGTGTCCCAGAGTTCCCCGCGGCCCTGCAAAGCCTGCTGGGAAGGGCCCCGGTTGTCCCGCCGGCTCTTGAGGACAAGAGCTGTAGAGCTGCGGAGTGAGGAAGACGCAGGAGGGGCTCTGGCGCTGCGGCTTCCGAAAACTCATTCGCTCTCCGAGCCGCAGTTGCCTCCCCTGTAAAACGGGAACGATGGTCCTGCGCGTCTCAGGGAGACCTCTGGCGAAGGCGGGGTGTTCTTACCGCCCTCTGTCTCTGTTTTCCTTATTTCTGAGATGCTTATCGGGTTCCCATCCTTCGGCAGGCCTACAGCTAGGGGATCCGGACCCGAAGCCCAGTCAGACAGCCTCTCTCCAGACAGGCACAGTTGCTGGGAATAAGAATAACATTTATTTGTTGAGAGCCTACTGTGTGCCAGGAGGCGGCCTTACGTGTTTCCTGTGAGCCCGAAACGTCCCCAGGAGGTCTGCGTTGTGACGACCTGAGGCTCCGACGGGCAGGAACTCGTAGCTCTTGAGGGTTTGGTTCTTCCCGACCACCGCAGTTAAGCGAGTTGTAATCTTGTTGCAGGTGAAGGGTCTTCCATTTGTAAAAAAAAAATCCTCAACACCTGTGAAGCGCAGTAAAGCGAAGCGCAATAAAGGGAGGTATGCCTGTGGTGAATTGTAATTTAAAGTCATTATAAATGGGGCACTTAGGTGGTGGAGTCCAGTTGTGCCCGACATCTGCTTTATATCCTCTCATAGCTCCTACACCTATAGTTTTGGTAACAGCATAATTGTGAGTCATTTCTTATGTAATGAGTGTGGTTTTGGTCATCCTTTACTGACCGTGACCTTCATGCGGTCAGGGACAGTGTTTGTCTGTTCACTGCACCATACTTAGCCCCTAGCACAGGTCCAAAACATAGGTGTTCACTAAATACTTGCTGAATGTACGGACCAATATTAGGTGCTTAATGAAGAAATAGCAGTGCAAGGTAGGTTAAAGATGTCGCAGGTGAGCGACAAGAATAATGACTTCTGATGGGAGCTTCATGTAAGGCCATGTATAGGAGCTAACTTTAGGAATGGGTCTTCAAGAGGGTAGGGTTTGGACAATAGAGATGGTAGAAGGGTGTTCAGGGCTTTCAAAGGCAAGCAGGAAGAGAGGCCTGAGACCTGTGCAGAGAACAGCAAGTAGTCCAGTTTGTCTGGAAATACAGAGGCATAAAAGGAGCCTCGGGAAATATGGCTGGGACTGGGGGGTGAGGGAGGGTAGTGACTTGAGTAAGAGGCCGAGGGCTTATCCTTTTATTTTGGAAGGGTGAAGTGGAAAGTTTGTAAGGGCGTGTTGCTCTTGTCATTTATCTTAACCAGTATTTATTGGACATCTGGGTATCTAGCATCAGGATAAGGTTTGTAAAAGTGCTGCTTGTAAAGTACTGCATTTAAAAAAATTTAAACCACATCATCATTACTCATAATGAAATTAACTATATTTTTTTACCATCATCTAATTGTCAGTCAACATTCAGACTTCCCAACTTGTCTCAAAAATGCCCTTTTATAGTCGGTTTGTTCAAGTCAGGGTCCCCAAAAGATCCAACATTGTATTTTGTGGGGATGTCTCTTAGGTTTCTCTCTCTCTTTTTTTTTTAATATATCTTTATTGATTGCAACTGATTCAGAGAGAGACAGAAACATGAGTGATGAGAGAGTCATTAATCGAGCCCGCAACCCGGGCATGTGCCCTGACCGGGAATCGAACCCCGATCGCCTGAATCCTACGTCAACACTCAACTGCTGTGCCATGCCCGGCCGGGCTCTCTCTTTTTTTTTTTTTAAATATGTCTTTATTGAGTTCTGAGAGAGGAAGGGAGAAGGAGAGAGAGAGATAGAAACATCAATGATGAGAGTCATTGATCGGCAGCCTCCTGCATGCCCCCTGACCGGGAATCGAACTGCCATCTCCTGGATCATAGGTCAGTGCTCAGCCTCTGAGCCATGCTGACCAGGAATCTCAGGTCTCTTTTAAATATAAAATTGTCTTCCTCCCCTCCATTTTCTGCTGTGATTTATTTGTTATGGAAACTGGGTCTTTTGTCCTATACACATTTCCCACCAAATCCTCATGGTGTCATTTAATATGCTTCTCCCAGTGTTTCCTGTAAACTGGTAATTAGATCTAGAGAGTTAATTAGATTCAGGCATAATTTTCTCTTTTAGTTGAAAATACCTCATTGGGGGTGCTCTGCACGTGGTGTTGAATCAGATCAGAAGGATCTGCTGTTTAGTTTTCTCTCTCTCAGTGATGTTAAGATCTATCAGTGGGTTCCTGGACAACCTTATTCCTCCATTATGAAGTTGCCTGTCAGCCTTTCACCTAATGATTTCTGCAGCAGTTTTATGATTATTGCTTAGGTCCATTTTTGGGGGCTTACAAAATGGTTATTTTCTAGTTTTAGCATTCCTCTCATACTTACGGGCATCAGTTATTTTATGAAGAACTTTCCTCAATAGTATCGGGATACCCTGAAATACATTATGATCCATTTCCTCTGCCTAGACGTTTCTTAGGAACTTATTTGCCTATGTCTTGCCCATCCTCTAGGCCTTAACTGAGATGTTCTTCCAGGCAGCTTTCTCTGATCCATATCTAGTTTGGATTAGGGAGCATAGGTATGTGCTCTCATTATGTGCTGAAGATTTTCTTTACCTGGGCATTTGTCACATTGCATGTAATGACTGCCAGTGTGTGGGCTCCCTGAAGGGTCATGTTGGGTTCTCGTTGGGTTTGCACTCCTAGCACCTAGAACAGTGCCTGGCTCTCAGTAAAAAAAGCACTGAATGAAAGAGACTCAAAGACATGAAGTATTTTCTTCAGAGTTGTACAACTAATAAACAATAAAGCCAGCCTTTGAACACAGGTTTTTCTGACCCAAGAACTTGTGTTATAAATCACACTATGATGTTAGAATGTTTGGGTTTTGGTTGTTTATACATTACCTTTGGGGTCTCTGAGTGTTTTTGAATTACAGGTTTACTCCATGCAAGAGCTGACTTTGCTTAGGTTCTCTTTAATCACCATTTCAGGTGGAGCTCTGAGCCCTGTTTTCTGATGCTTTTTGTAGGAATGTTTGTGCACTCAGATTCTTTGTCAGAAAGTAAGGGTTTTGACCAAAATGAAGAGTTTGGCTCATTATTTTTAAAGAAACAACCTCATCTCCAATATATATGCTAATTTATGTATACAAGGAGCCCTAGAAATGCCTTTTGAATTAATCATCCCTGGAGGTGTTTCGCTCACCTTTCACTTAAACAAACTAGTAATCAGTGCTATTTTGTTAGAATGGGTGTAGAACTTGGATATTTTATCCAGTTGTGATTCAGAATTTGTTTATGATGAAGTATAAGTACGATAGGAGGAGAGAACTGGCCTGTCTTGTTCACCACTGTACCCCCAATGCTTAGAACTGTGCTTGGCATGTAGTAAGTATTCAGTACTCAATTCTTTAATGATTGAATCTCTATTTACAATGAAAACTGGGAGAATGATAATAGTTGTACTTTATACCTACATAATGGCATACTTTTGACAAGCTCTTCCATTTATTCAATAAATTAGGTGCTAGGGGATACAAAAATGCAAAGATATGGTTTAGGTCTTTATTCATTTAATTATTTGACAAATATTTATGAGTCCAGTTACTTTGTGCCAAGGCACTGTTCTAGGAGTTGGGCATACAGGAGTGAGTAGTCATGACTTCTGCCCTCATGTTGCTTTTAGTTTGGGAAGAAAGGAGTGGGAGGGAGAAGAGGGGAGCTAGAAACTTGGTTGTAAGAGTTGTAAACCAGTTGGTGTATTTGTTTGGCTGGCAGATTATTTTTGTTTTGTTGTTTTCTTTTTTCTGTTTTCACTGCCTGTAGTGACACAGTAATCATCACTAGTCTGCTCCTCATAGGGATTTGAGTTGTTCACCTTTGGTTTGGAATATAGTGGGAAGACTGATCATGAGATTATAATACGAAAATTGCCATAGTCGCCCCATGTACCAATTGCAAGGAGACTTTTGGAAAACCAGCTCCTTGGCTGAGGAGGTGAAGAGCAGCACCGTCGTATGGTGGAGAATCGCGGTTCCAGGTTCAGATGTGTGCTTGTGGCCTCCTGACAAAAAGGTCATTTGATTGGGATGAAAGTCACACAGAGGATCAGTGATGATTTGAGTTCAAAACCCAAGAGTTTTAGTTCTTTATAAACTACTTTTCCCCCACCAGTGATCTCATATGGCAAAGCCTTAACTGCATCCTTAAAAGCTCTTTCTTGTACCTTCTGAAGGACTTGGGAGAGGCACACACTTTGTTTTTTGACATTTGTGTTTCTTTACCTTTCCTCCAAGCTGTCATCACTACCTAGAATCTTTATTTTAAAATATACTGGAATTGTTTGAGAGCATCTCTCCTTTCGTGTTGTTTGTTCCATCTTTCCCCACTTTTCTCATCCTCTGTTCATTACAGAATCCAATTATTGTGTAAATAATTGCAATCTCAGTGAGCAACAGGAACTATTTTCACATGCCTCTTGCCAGGAATTGGTCCCAAGGGAAGGGAACCAACCTCAGAAGGAAAAAGGAGACAGTAGAAGAAAGATTGTGTGAACAGTTGTTTAGCAATTACTGTATATGACCTTATAAATTACTTAATCCCTTTGAGCTTTAGTTTCCTCTTCTATACAGTAGAGATCATCATACTTCCCATAGAGGATTAAAAGATATAAGGATGTAAAGTGCTTAACTTGGTGCTTGTCTACTGTAGGCACTTAATAAATTAGAACCCTTCTCTTCTTTCCTTTTTTCCTGTGCTTTTTAATGTATCTTTCCTCCTTAGGAATTTTCCTTCCTTCCTCCCTTGTTTCTCACAAATATTTATTAAACTCCTACTAATGTATGCCAGACATTGGTCTCAGTGCTAGGGATACAGCAGTGAGTAAAACAAAGTACCTGTCATCAGGAACTAGAATACAGAATGTACAAAGAACTCTTACAAGTCAGTAATAAAAAGACAATCCAATTATGAAATGGGCAGAGGCTTTGAATAGCTATTTCTGTGCTGGTATGAGTGGCCAATGAACACATGAAAAGTTGCTCAACATCAGTAGTCACCAGGGAAATGGAAATCAAAACTGCAGTGAAAAATCACACCCACTCAGATGACTATAATATAAAGGACAGACAGTGTCGAGTTGGTACGGATGTGGAGAAATTGGAATCTTCACGTATTGTTAGTGGGAATGTAAAACGGTGCAGCCAGTTTGGAAAACAGCCTGGCAGTTCCTCAAAATGCTAAACATGAGTTGCCCAATCTGTGCCTAGATATCAACCCAAGAGAAAACATACATTCATATAAAAACTTGCACATGAATGTTCATAGCAGTGTTGTTCATAGTAGCTTCAAAGCGGAAAGAACCGAAGTATCCGTTAACTGATTAATGGATAAAATGTGGTATAATCCATAAATGTTACTCGGCAATAAAAAGCAATAACGTAGTGATACACGCTATAGCATGGATGAACCTTGATAATATGTCAGATGAAAGAAGCCAGTTACCAAAGGCTGTAGGTCATATGATCTTGTTTATATTTAATGTCCAAAATAGGGAAATTTATAGAGAAAAAAGTTTAGTGGTTGTCTCGGACTGGGAGAGTGGGATGCGGGTGATGGAGAGAGACTGCTGATAGGTATGGGGTTTCTTTTGAGATAATGGAAATGTCCTAAAACTATTTCATGGTGATACTGCACCATATTCTAACTATTCTAACAACCACTGAATTGTATACTTTATGTGGTTGAGCCTTGTGGCATATAAATACCCCAGTACAACTGTTAAAAAATCTAATTACCCTTCTCTCTTCTAACTGCAGCCATCTTCTCAGCATATGAATATGCTCTGACCACCCATCCTAAAACAAAGTAGGACAAATGTGAACCCTTCCTGGGCCCCCTTCCTGCTACTATCCCTTGGTTTTTTCCTTTTCTTCATAACTAAGACCCCTAAAAGTTAGCAGATAAGTAGTTTAGAAATAGTTCATTGTAGAAGAGTTAGAAATTAATGGATAAGCAGAAAAAAGTTTTTTTTGACATTTAATCTCACCACCCACCCAGAGATAATCATTGTTTATATATATATATATATATATATTTATTTATTATTTGTTGATTTTACAGAGTGGAAGGGAGAGGGAGAGAGAAACATTGATGCGAAAGAAAAACGCAGATCAGTTGCCTCCTGCGCGCACCCCTACCAGGAATCACACACCACCTTTTGGTGCATGGGATGGCGCTGCAAACAACTGAGTCACTCTGGCCATGGCAGTCATTGTTAATATCTCATATAATTTTAACATTAATTAGAAAAGTTGACACTTTTTTAAATTCTCTCACCTGGTCAGTTGCCTCCTATACGAGCCCTAACTGAGGATCAAACCCGCAACCTAGTTATGTGTCCTGACCGGGAATCCAACCCACAACCTTTTGGCATATGGGACGATGCTCCAGCCAGCTGAGCTACCCTTGTGTTTTCATTTTCAAATAGAAGTGCTGTTTGTTATAAGGAAAGGTTTATGTTAAGGTAGAACATTAGAATATTCTTTTTTTTTTTTTAAATATATCTTTATTGGTTTCAGAGAGAGGAAAGGAGGGGGAGAGAGACAGAAACATCAATGATGAGAGTCATTGATCGGCTGCAGCCCACAACTGGGCGGGCTTGTACCCTGACCAGGAATTGAACCCCGATCGCCTGGATCCTAGGTCGACACAACCACTGAGCCACACCCGGCCGGGCTAGAATATTCTTTTGAAGAGAAATATCTTAAGTCTTCTGTAATAATGTTAAGCATGATGGGCTTTTATGCATGATTTGATTTTTTTAACTCTTTGGAATTGCTTACATCAAATTTGAAGTCATTAAAACCTAATGCTTAAGAAGCCTTCACGCTCATTAGAGTGGATGGAATTCATAAAGCCTCCATGTTGCCTTGTAGGCCTCACTTGTTACATGGCTTTTGCTTAAGCCGGAGCCTCAAATCACAGAGGATTTCAGTCTGAAATATTTTAGAGTGTGTTAAAGGTCTGTGCCCTGTGAAGTAAAAATTTCATGGATTACCTTCGGCTTCTGTGGACTGTTCTAAATATCTGGCTGACGTTGGCTATGAATCGGGATATCAGCTGGTAAGATGGGTTTCCTGCTTTAGAAATTGTATTGAGCTCATTTCATTGATCTTTTCTCTCTTTTGCATGTGCAGAATTAGATTGGCTGAGCAACCCAAGCTTTTGTGTTGAAACTGTAACAACTCTGAGCCAACAAACTGAAGAGGCTACAGCTCTTATTTCTGAAGGGCCACCACTAACAAGGTAGTATTTTTTTTTTTAAATAAATCTTTTATTGATTTCAGATAGAGGAAGGGAGAGGGAGAGAGAGCTAGAAACATCAGTGATGAGAGAGTCATTGATCAGCTGCCTCCAGCACATCCCCTACTGGGGGCATGTGCCCTGACTGGGAACCGAATTGCAATCTCCTGGATCCTAGGCCAATGCTCACCTGCTGAGCCATGCCTGGCCAGGCCAGGGTAGTAGTTTTGATAGATGGAGTTTTAGTCTTTGTCAGGGTGTCGTCTATGGCTTAGCTTGAATGATGCTCCTTAGAAAACCCTGTGATAGAAGAGCTAAGTAAAACTCTTATTCAAAGTAATGAGGTGACCTTTGACTATTTTCCCTTACCTCACTCTTACAGATAATTTCCCCACCCCCAGCCCCCCTTTGCATTGCAGTGGCAACTATGTGACACAGTTACTGCCAGTAATTAGGCCATGAGGGAAATGTCATCATTGTGATTCTTATTTACTAACCTTGTTAGTAACCTTTAGAATAGTGATAAACATAGAATTCAGATATTTCTTTAGTAGCATTTTCAACACTTGTAAAAATAGAAGGCGCTTTTGTAATATAATGTGGGGAAAGAGGAAAATTCTCTTTCTCTCCTCTGGTTTTTTTTTTGGCTAGCCAAATAATAGATCAACAGGAGGTAGATTGACAAAAGAAAATAAAATTTAATATCATGCTCACTGGAACCCCACATACAGGAGAGAGTCAGAGACCCTGCATACATGAGAGGTTCAGTGGTAGAAAGGGAGATTGAGGTATATAAGACATCCTGAATGAGGGGTGAGGTAAGGTGCGTTGGGGCTTCAAAAGGTCATTGCAGCATGATAAGAGCAGACCTTTAGTAAATAGAAGTTTCCTGCCATGTAGGTAGGTCAAGAGAAGTTATTTCTGATAATCTCTTAGAGGCAAGGCCTCTAATTCAAATTTTTCTAGGTAGTTAAGGAATGGGGGAGCGGGGAGAAGTTTCTCTTGAGCCCGAAACTAAAATTGCCTTTAGCTCAAAGCAATCTGTATACCACTGAGGCACTTCTTGGGGTAGCTAGTTCTGGACCCCCACAATAACATAGTAGAAAACCTCATGAAAACCTTGGGAAAGCAAAATGGTACACATCTCTACCCAGATCTGAAAGAGTTTTGTTGTAGATTATTGAATTGAGAAATGAACTCTCTCACCATTAATATGATGACCCCTAGGAAGCTCTGTACTCTAAGGGTGGAAGAAGCCTTTGGAAATTGAGAATAATTGATGTGTGAGAGGGAGTTGTTTATAGATATTTCAGTAATGATGCAGAGCTCATTGTAACCTTTAAAAACAAGGACCAGAATTAAAACTTGGTGGTTTTTTGGGTTTTTTTGACATTAAGAACATGCTGGTGTAATGTGTAGGACTGAAAATAAACCTTTATAATGTTGCTTTTAAAAATATTATATTTGATAAAATAACTGGTTAGATTAATTTAAAAATGTATAGATATGAAAGTATAGCTTCAGAAGCTATTAAAATTAGAATTTCTTCACCTGGTTTTAATTTAGATCCAACTCTTAATGTCTTTAAGGTGAGTTGTAATCCAGGAAGATACTGTATAATATATGGGCAGATAGTCAGTGTGAGCATTTTTAGAATTTTCTTTTATACATTTCTTTATTTGGTTGCTGATTTACATGTTATTTTTCCTAAATCTCTTCTAAAAATTCTAATGTTGACTTTCCCAAGCAGGAGCCCTCTGAAATCAGAGACTTCAGATGCCGGGGACACAAACAGAAAGCTCAGGCAAGCGAGCAGGAGGAAGAAAGAGAAGAAGAGGAAAAGGAAGCGCCAGCACCGCAGCAGAGACAGGAGGAGGCGAGGGCGGTCAGGGAGCAGTGCGTCCGAGTCAGGCACTGATCCTGGAAAGGACAGAGCTCCCAGAGGCTTCAGAGATGCTGACAAAGAGTCGGAGAAACCGAAGTAGGTTTTCTATTCTCAACACCTGTGGTATTTTAAATCTTTAATTTTTCTCCCTCGATCACTGCCACAAGTTAGACAGTTAAATGATTATTTAATTCCACTCAATCAAAACAGAGTCAGTAAATATCTCAATAAAGCTAGGAAAAAATAGAGCTCTACCATTTGGTCAACATAAAAAAGAAAACTTTAACAAATGAGGACCATGATTTTATTTGAGATGTTAATTAGGCACAGTAATGATTGTGTCAGAATCAGATTTAGACAAAGTCTTTGGGAGTTTTGAAAGATGGCAAATGTGCCACATGGTGGGCACACGGGCTAGTTCACTATGGGGCCGTGGGCCTCTGCACTTAGTAAGAAAAATGTCTTCTCCCATTGTGCTGTGTCTTCCTTTCAGTCTCTTCCATTAGTGCCCCACCTCTGGTAAGGTTAATTGTACCGCTTAATATAATCATTGCTTTTGTCCTTACTGCACATTTTTTAGAACCATGTGTTGAGGGTACAAAATGGCCCACGACCACAGTATTTCCTTTCCTTGGGGACTTCACTGCCCCGCAGTGCCCCACTGTCTACCCTGAGCGTGTCTGTTCAAGTAATTCTGCAGGACGATCACAGCTAGGTCGTCAGAGATGCGGTTCCTCTCTGCTTAGTCTAATGCCCTCCTACAGAGGGAGACACTGCCCAGAGGCAGGACAGTTAGTATGTGGCAAAACTACTTTAATTATTCCTCGTTTAACCTTTTTTGTCTTTGTTCATACAGTCTAGAAGAGAGAAAAGTTAAGCACCTGTCTAAGGCATACTAAAAAAGTTAGTGCCATTAAGACTTTTGCAATTCTTGAGAGATTACGTGCTTTTGTTGTGTGCTTTGAAGTCCCATTGATGTCAGTGAGAGCTCTGTGTTGGAGCAGACTTGATTTTGGCCTGTAGAGTTTCCATCAGATAGGTGAACAGTGCAGTCTTCTAGGATCCTTCTGTCATCTGATCAGTGCTGGACAACACTGCAGGCCTCTGGCTCAGAGGATCCAGGTTTACTTAGCCCTCCGGTGTCTCAGGTGCTGTACCTATAACCCACACTTGCTCTAGGAGGAAAAATAAAGGGGTCAGGCCTAAAGGTCTGCATTTGACTGAATTTATGTGGGCAGGAACCATGCCCCCCTTGCTGGCCATTGTACCTCCCAGCCTTGGCATAGGGCCTGATACATAGTAATATATACACTGAATACATTTTTGTTATGTGCTGAATGAATATATTATTGATAGTCTTTGCTTTTTTTGCATGTCTTCAAAGAAAAATATATTAATTATTGTATCTTCTGAAAACTCACCATTAGTTACTTGTTCTTTTTTATAGCTAAGGGAAAAAAGCTTTAAAGGATTTCCTGAACACACGTGGGAACCACCATTAGAACTTGAAGGATAGTTGTTTTCAGCCTATGCTTAACCACTGTAGAGGTGATCTTTGCAGCCTCCTGATGATTTTATGATCCAGACAGGATTTTTAAGTTTGTTGATATTATTAAGATCATAATAAAATGTTTTTGTCCTGTTTTACTTTCTTAGTATTAATGTCTGTAGTCTCTTCCTGGGAAGGTGACCTGGAAGAATTGTCAGTGCCATATTGGCAAGATATTAGTTCTGAGTCTTTCTTTGATGTCAGGAAAGTGGGTTCATGGGGGATAATACACCATATGGGTCTCTAGGTCGAGGGACAACTTCCCCGAGGCTACAGCTTCTAACTGACCTTTGTTTCCTAGGATGACTTCCTCTTCACCTTCAGGTGGAGGCAGATCCGTCCTTGCACCCAGTCCAGACCACATCCTGCTTCGTGACCTCAATACCCAATAGGGGAGGGATAAGGGCTTGTTTACTCCCCAGGGGTGGTCTGCAGCTGGCCCTTCTTTTTTTTTACCCCGTTGTTTTTCTATGTCTTTCTGGAATGCATAGTTTCTTTCCCTCTCTTCACTGCCCCTAACAGTTCTCATTGACCCCTCCACAGTGGTTCTGAAGGGGAATGTGTTAACCCCTCCACAGTGGTTCTGAAGGGGAATGTGTTAACATTACCATGTTAACCTGAGATGTGTCATTCAACAAATATTTATGGAATTGCTGCTTTGTGTCCCTGAAATACCATTTGCTTGTATTCCCAGCCAAGAATGATTTAGAGGCCTCCAGAATCTTCATTTCTATCTGGGCAGAGCTAAAAAGCAGATGGAATGACAGTTAATGACTGTTATGACCCCTTTGGCAGCTCCTGTGTCAGCAGCATTAAGAACTCATTTTCTTTAGCGGAGGAAAGATGTTAGATGCCAGAAAATCCTCCCCTCCCTCTCACTTCTAGGGAAGTGGTTCCATTTGTATCTGAGCTGAAAGTCTGCTAGCTCACAGATTGGTTCAAAGAAATAAATCAGGGTCTTGTCTTACAGTGGGGTCCCTCTGCCCTTCCTGTAGGAGGTCGGTCCATACAGGCAAAGCTGTACACACAGCCCAGACCAGAAAAACGAAACTTAGACCAGGCCCAAGTAACACCTGAGGAGGAACTATTCACAACCGGGACCTTTGTTGTTGTTATTGTTGAGTTTTGAGTTGGAATAAATAATCTGAGCACTTTCGAATAAGGTGAAGTAAGAGCAGCCCACCTTTTTTTTTTTTTTAAAAAAGAAGAAAGCTTGTTTATGAATATATTTGAAATTCAGTTTACAATAATTTAAGTGGAAGACTTGAAAAAGAACATCTCTGTATCCCTTGGGTGAATTTCTGAGATGACTTGTTTTTGGGTAAAGCGCTGCTTGGTGTTGACAGTTTTTGCTTTATATTTTAAACTTTTTTTTTGGGAGCAGGCATCCACTTCTCATCTGTATGGCATGTACACATTTTATGTATCTAGTTCCCTTGATACTGTGTGGAGTTTGAAATGTTTAACTTCCATGTTGCTGCAAAGGTGAAATGTTAACTGGAAGATTTTAAGTGCCTCTCCCTTTCTCCACCTTTCCTTGTCCCACAGCCAAGAAAATAATGCTGCTTCTGCTGCTGGACGTCACTGTGTTTGGCTTGAGGACATTCAGGCTCTGACTGGAGAAACCTTCAGAACAGATAAGAAACCAGATCCTGCAAACTGGGAGTACAAGTCCCTCTACCGAGGAGATATAGCAAGGTACCCATCATGACATCTTTCCTGGTTTTCTCTGGGGGAAAGTAACTTCTCTCTCCTGAACTCTCTCAGCACTGTCTCTGGCCAACTCCCCAACTCCCTTATAGATTCTCTTGGGTTTTTATCCATTGCTAGTTGTTTAGGCACATCTTATCTCGCATTCTGAAATGAAAACTTAAATCTTTCTTTTTTTTTTAATATATCTTTATTGATTTCAGAGAGAGGAAAGGAGAAGGGGAGAGAGAGAGAGAAACATCAATGATGAGAGAGTCATTGATCGAGCCCACAACCCGGGTATGTGCCCTGACCGGGAATCGAACCCCGATCGCCTGCATCCCAGGTCGACGCTCAACTGCTGAGCCACACCCGGCTGGGCTTAAATCTTGAGATCAGGATACAGGTCAGATTGGTCTTATTTATCCATGGTGCTTGGAACAGTGCCTGGCATAATAGGTGTTCAGTAAATGTTGACTGAATGAATCTAAAAATACCTTGAAATAATTGTGACATACTGTCTGGAAACCATTTGATCTAATCTATATGCCATTTTAAAAAGTTGCGAAAGCCTTTTATTTATTCCCCCCACCCCCACATATGCCATTTAAAAAATGACATTAAATGGTAATGACTTTTAAAAAATGTTTTCAGCGTATATCACCAGATAATCATAAAAATAGGTGATGAAATAGATGATGGTATTTGCTTTAATAATGAGTTTAAACTTTTCTCCTCTAATCTGTCAATCAAAAATATTTGAATATGTATTAAACCCTTTAGGCACTTGGTGCTTTGTGAGACACTGTTGGAAACAAAGAACAATAATCGACAATCTCTGTTCCCAAAGAGCTCACAGGCAATCAAGAGTGAAGGTAGAGCCCAGCCAGCGTGACTCAGTGGTTGAGCGTTGACCTAGGATCCAGGAGATCGAGGTTTGATTCCCGGTCGGGGCACATTCCCAGGTTGTGGGCTCGATCCCCAGTCGGGTGTGCAGGAGGCAGCTGATCAATAACTCTCTCATCATTGATGTTTCTCTCTCTCTCCCTCCCTCTCTCTGAAATCAATAAAGACTTTTTTTTTTTAAAAGAGTGAAGGTAGAGAACCATGGAATAAAAGGCCAAGAGGAGGCCTTGAAGATCATTAACATTCTTTATAAGCTAATTACCGTTTAAAATAAGCTTATGAAAGCCTCCCATTACTTTGCTGTACCTCCAAATTTTAATCATGTTTTCCCTCATGACATTATACCTCATCACATAAGCAATTCCAAGAAAATTTTCTTTATGATGTGTGTATATTAGTTATTTTTCAGTGTATATTTATATCTACTTACTATCTACTAAAACATCATGGCTGAGAGTGAATGATTATCTCATTTAAAATGTACTCATATATTTTTAAATTATTTTAATACTCCCTAAAATCTTGTTTGGTTTTTCATGCCACCACAGTATGGTGCCACAGATGTGGTAGAAACCCAGTAAAAATGGGGAGGCCAACAAACACTGATTGGGCATGAAGTGTGTGCCACGGTCTCTTACTCATTCTTTCCCTGTGTTAGCCTGTCTGATCCTCATGGCTGCTCTCATTCTGCAAATGAGGAAAAGGAACCTCGGAGGTTCAGTGTTCTCAGGGTCATGCAAGCAGTAAGCAGCAGAGTTGGGTTTTGAACCTGTGTTTCTCTGACTTCACATGTTCTTTCACTGTCCTCAGGTGAGACAGATTATGTGGTTGAACATTTTCTCGACTGGGAAACAGGACTGGTTCTCATTCCGACTTTGTCATTTGTTAGTAACGTAATTGCAGGCAAGTCACTTGAGCTGTCTGAGCCTCTGTTTCTTCATTTATAATTTGGTAATTGTACCTCTGGCCGACCCTTACACTCAAATATCGGAAATATTTGATATGGAATTAGAAAATGGTGGGCAAATATAAAGGGTTATTATAGATGAACAAAGGAAAAAAATCTTAACGTGTGGCTCTTGAGCATCTGCTAATGAATGGCCCAGACCTTGGAAAGAGAGCCATTAGTGACTTCATTAATCTGAACTGCAAAGGTACTGCTGTCAAGGCGTAGGACATTGGTGTGGTTTCCTAGTGATTTATTAAAGCTTAAGTAAGTTAAGTCTTCCCTGGATCCATAGCTGTACAACTGTTAGTGTCCAGGTCTAGGAAGGCATTGATTCCATGGCACTCTGAGCTGGTCAGAGGACAGTGGGAGTGTTGTGTCAGGTACTGAATTTTTATACCTGAACAGGGACACTAACAAACCAAGAGCATTTGGAGGAAGGTGAGCAGACGACTTGGTCAGCACTGACATGAGGACTGGATGAGGGCTCATGAGTATTTGGCCCATAGCAGGGATATGCCATTGTCTCTGAAGCTTTGTTGGGTTGGCCATGTTCTGTATAACTTGGGGAGGCACAACAAGGACAAATGAGTCAAGTCGCTGGGAGGTCAGATTTGGCTTAGTGCAAAAGCAGACCTGATAGTGTGAACATCCCAGCAACGATGAGGTGTGTGTTGGAATAGTGTGGCAAACAGAGGTTAGGTTCTAAGGTTAATGTATAACAGAGTCAAAATTACCTTTGGAAAATTCCTTAGGGCAAATAATACTGTCTGTCAGTGAAGTTTAGATGAGTTTTTTCTCCGTTTTTGGAACGGATTGTTGTTTCTTTGGCTATACACCAGATGAAATAAATGGTTTGCTTATGTTTAGGAGCCAAGTTTTTAAAAATAATAATAGTTTAAACTATATATACATATAAATCTATACATACACATATATCTAGAAGTAGATGCTTAATAATATGGACCGGTAATACTTTTTTTTCTCCTTTATCATTTCCATCTTTCTTATGAAATCCAGCTATTAAAATCAGTTTTACAAAATGCACTTTTTTTTTTTTTTAATATATCTTTATTGATTCCAGAGAGAGGAAAGGAGAGGGAGAGAGAGAGAAACATCAATGATGAGAGAGTCATTGATCAAGCCCGCAACCAGGCATGTGCCCTGACCGGGAATCGAACCCTGATCACCTGTATCCTAGGTCGATGCTCAACCGCTGAGCCACACCCAGCTGGGCACAAAATGCACTTTTAAATTCAGAAAACTCAGTAAACATTTTTTAGAGATTGTATGAATATCTAAAATGCCATTCATGCCCAGCCGGGCGTGGCTTAGCAGTTGCTCGTCGACCTTTAATCCAGGAGATCGCAGCTCGATTCCTGGTTTGGGTTGCGGGCTCCATCCCCAGTAGGGAACGTGCAGGAGGCAGCCGATCAATGATTCTCATCATTGATGTTTCTCTCTCTGAAATCAATAAAGATATATTTAATAATAATAAAATAAAAATATAATATCATTCATGTTTAGTGAAAATAAAATAGTAATTAAGGAGAACAAAACTAGTTTTTACTTAAAAACTGTTCCTTAGGGAACAATAGGCTTATTTAGAGCTGTTGTAGCACTGTTTTATCTCCTTACCGCTTTGTTAAAGTTGTTCTTGGCTGATAAATGGAATGGAGAGAGATTATCCAGAGGTGGTCTAGAAGGAGCTGGGAGAGAGGATGAGGGAAGGTGTGTGAGAGACAGCCTGACATATGTGAGACACTTTTCCCCAAAGTGGAACTCACTGCACCTGGGCAGCCAGGGCAGCACAAGCAAGCAGAACGCTTCTCAGGTGGCTGTTGACAGTGGGAATCAAAGACGGTGATGGGGCTCACCACAAAGGGTGGAGGCAGAGCTCCTGGGGAGTTGACAGAAAATGGCAGTGGATCTCTCCTGCCTTTTTCTCCCCGCAGCATTTTATTGTGAGAATTAAGAAAAATACAGCGTAAGTTGGAAGAATTTTATAGTGAACACTCATATACCCACCCCCTGCAATCTGCCATTTTACTATACGTGCCTTATTATATATCCCTCTATTCATCTATCAACCCATCTTCTTATTTGATGCATTTCAAAGAAAATTGCCAAAATCAATATCCTACCCCCTAAATACTTCAGGATGGATATCATTAACTACAGTCCAAGATTTGTTTCATTTTTTCTTTTAAGTTTTACATATCTTGTAATATGCAGATCTTCATTTGCTCAGTTTTTTTGTTTTGTTTTGTTAATTCTTACCTGAAGATACTTTTTCCATTCATTTTTAGAGAGAGGGGAACGGGGGGTGGAGAGAGAGAGACATTGATGTGAGAGAAACAAATCGATTGGTTGCCTCCTGCACGCACCTCAGCTGGGGCTGGAGATGGAACCTGCCACCCAGGTACATGCCCTTGACCAGAAATCAAACCCAGGACCCTTCAGTGCGCAGGCTCACACTCTGATCACTGAGCCACACTGGCCAGGGCCATTTGCTAAGCTTTGACAGAGGCATATACCTGGATAACCTAGACCTTTGTGAAAATAGAGAATTTCACTGTGACCCCAAAAAGTTTCCTCATGCTCCTTTCCAGTCCGTTCACACTCCACCTCCCCAGAGGCCATCACCGTTCCAATTTTTCCCCACCATCAATTAGTTTGATCTGTTCTTTAATTTCACATAACTGGAATCATATAGCGTGTCCTCTCCTGTGTCTGGCTTCTTTCACTCAGCGAATGTTCTTGCACTTCCTCCCTGTTGTGGCATTTGCCACCCTCTGTTCCTTCCTTCTTCACTTGGCGGACACCTGGACTCTCAGTGCTTGGCTTTATGAATAAAGCTGAGAACAGTTGTGCACAAGTCTTCGTGTAGACATGTGGTTTCCTTTTTCTTGGGTAAATACCTAGGAATAGAATTGCTGGGTCATAGGGTAGGTCTATACTTAGTTTTCTAAAGAAACTGCCAGACTTTCTCCCAAAGAGCTTGTACCAGTTTATATTCCCATCGGCAGCAAATGGGAGTCCTGGTTACTCCTCAGATTGCTCACCAACATTTGGTATTGTCCGTCTTTTTAATTTTGGCTGCTTTCATGGGTATGCGATGTATCTCTTTGTGGTTTTAATTTGCATTTCCTTGATGACTAATGATGTCGAACACTCTTTCGACATTCGTGTCTTTTTGTGAGTTCTGTTCATATCTTTTGCCCATTTTTAAATTGGGTTGTTTATATAACACACATACAGAAAAGTGCACAATTTTCCGGAGCTTTTGTGCAGATAGTCAGTAGTCATGTGTTTGTAACTCTGGGGACGCCTACACGTTCCATAAAAGCATTTTAGAAGCCAGCCTCTTTTCCTCCAGTGTAGAAAATAGCCAGATTTAATTTTATTTGACATACTTTGTTTCAGGATTAAAAAAGAATCTTAGACCTATATGTTATCTTTTTAAGTAGGGACACAGGACAATACTGAGGGAAAGGGACTGCTCTAGGGGACAGATGGCTTAGTGTCACCTAAGGTCTCAATGTCCTTATTTAGGGATAGTGTAAAAGAGGGGATGATGATTCCCACCTTGTATGTCACCCTTGATTGTGATGATCACAGGACATAATGTAGGTGACAATACTTTAACTACAAGGCTCCGGGAAAGTAAATTACTAACATCCAGAAGGCAGACATGATCTTAAATTCATGAGACTCTGATGAAGACTTGAAGTGTTAGAGGATAAGTCAAACGGACAGAGAAAGTTTGTAATCCTCATATTTCTGTAAATAGAAACAATTTGAAGGTAAGGTGAATTTGAATATGTGCAGTTAACTTGCATAACAAGAGTTTAATTTCAGTCTGATGAGCCTTCACCCATTCAGGGCTAGTGCACATATTCCCTCAGAAACCTTTTTTCTTTCTCAAATTTAAGATACAAGAGGAAAGGAGACTCCTGCCTCGGCATTAACCCTAAGAAGCAGTGTATATCCTGGGAGGGGGCCTCCACGGAAAAGAGGCGTTCGCACAAGCATGTGGAGCGCTATTTCACGAGGAAGAACGTGGGACTGATGAGCACGGACGGAGTTGCCATTAGCAGTCACACTGAACCCCTCTCATCTGAGCCAGTCTCTTTTATCCCAGTGAAGGGCTTGGACGATGTGGCTCCTGTTACAACCTGGTTGAATCCTCTGGGCATTTATGATCAATCCACCACACTGTGGTTACAGGGACAGGGCCCTTCAGAGCAGGAATCAAAGCAGCCAGACTCACAGCCAGACCGAGAGAACGCCCTTCTCAAGGCCAAGGTGGAGGAGTTTAACAGGAGGGTGCGGGAGAATCCCCAGGATATTCAGCTGTGGATGGCGTTTGTTGCTTTTCAGGTAAGTATCACTGTCCCACTTCTCTTATCTCACTTAGCATGACGGTCCTCAGTTTGGGCAAAGCAATATACTGTGCAGTGCTTTCTGAGCTCCCATGAGGAACCCGGGCGCTGGGCATGTAAAGATGATTAGACTGTAGCCCTTGCCCTCAGCTTACCCAGAATGCAGTGAGGAAGACTCACGTGTGAAGGATGCATGCAGTCTGGGGTGATAAATGCTTTAATGTGTAATTGGGGGATGGAATGAGGGAGTGACTCACCATAGAGAGTAAGAGAGGGCTTCCAAGAGAAGGTGAAATCTGACCAGAATCTTGAAAGAAGAATAGATGTTCACCATGCAGGGGGAGGCATTGGGGAAGTACAGACAGAACATGCAGTGGGCACAGAGCTATGCAAGAGAACTGCTGCTCATTGAATTACCTAGTTAGAGCCATGTGCTCCCTTTCTAAAATACATGAATTATCTTAGTTCCACTTATTTTTTTTGAACCACTTATACAATTATATTTTGTCCCACATTTGATCAGTTTAATGGTAAATTTGACCCGAGAAAAGGTTTTCAGGGCATTGCATGCTAGTTACTGATACATAAATCTAAGTTTTAAATGACAGAGTAGACAGGTAAATCAGGTGAACTAAACAAGATCAGATACACTAGGTGACACAGGCACCCAAGGAACTAAGTTTCCATTGGAAGAAATTGTGGTAAGTGATTATCAAGAAAGTGTGAATAGCAGTTCATTTTGAGAGATGAGAGACCCTTTGGGGCTTGTAAGTAACTGGATGAGCAGAATTGGGAGGATTTGTAAATTGATGTTTTCGTTGTTGAGGACGAGGTCATGAGGAGTCCTGGCCTATATGCCATCGAGGAAGGAGAGCAGAAGCGGAAGAGGTCGCTGAAGCTCATCCTAGAGAAGAAGCTGGCCATCCTGGAGCGGGCCATCGAAAGCAACCAGAGCAGTGTGGACCTGAAGCTCGCCAAGCTGAAGCTCTGCACCGAGTTCTGGGAGCCCTCCACGCTGCTCAGAGAGTGGCAGAAACTGATATTCTTACATCCCAACAATACAGCCCTTTGGCAAAAATACCTTTTATTTTGCCAGAGCCAGTTCAGCACCTTTTCAGTATCAAAAATCCACAGTCTTTATGGAAAGTGCTTGAGTACTTTGTCTGCAGTGAAGGATGGCAGCATCTTATCTCACCCTGAGCTGCCTGGCACTGAAGTGGCCATGTTCGGTAAGGAGATGTGGACCAGAGACATTTACATGAGAGGAAATATGCTTTTGATTTGAGTTGAAAAAGAAGATTTATTTTGGAAAAGTCTAAGTTGATTAATCTGATTAATAAATTGATAGAATTCATTAATCAAGAAAAAAAACTATTATGACTCCTTTTGACCGTAACAGATTCTCCCCGCTCCAGCTTCTTAGTGGTGGTAGTGGTGGGGGCAGTAGAGTTAGGAAAGTACCACTGGCCGAAAAGTTCCAGCTTCTCTGCTCATAAACCAGACAAGCAGAGTCAAGACTCGTAACCACTTCATCTGTCGATGGCCTTGTCTGTTGAAGGGTCTGTGCTGCTCATCACATCCAGTTCTAGGGTTTCAAGCAGTAATGTTTGTGGGACACCCTGACTGGCTGAAGTCACTGTATAAATATATAGGTCATTGATATATGGTTAGCATTTCTGGTGTGTCCTAAAGGAGCCTAGAATATAAATGTGTCCAGTAATGAGATAATCAGAGGCAGCATGCTATGCAAGAGCTAGAGAATACCGCTCTTGACTTGAATGCTGGGTTTGCCCTTCATTGGTTCTGGTGTGACCTTGGATAGGTTCCTTAGCGTGTTTGAGCTCCAGTTTCTCCCTCAGCAGCAATAGTATAGTACCTGCTTTACAGCGTTATTGTGCACATTAACCGAGATAATATATGGTGAGTCTAGCTCAGTGTCCGGCACACGGCAGGCAGTTATTGGATCAAAACCCTGCTATTACAATTAACTTCTAAAGATACAAATATATTGCTCCAGAATCAGTAAGCATTCACCACATTGTCATAAAGAGCCTCGTGTTTGCTGTCATTTGTGATATGCTCACATAGCTTCATGTTATTTAGTAAGTAGAATTATGCCACACTTACGGCAAACTGAAGTGTTCAAACATGGAACCTTGGTTCGTTCACAGCGACACTGAGCATATGATGAACTCGCTGATGAATAATGCCATCTAGTGATCCACCGAGTACAGACCTTGGCTTTCTGGTAAAAAATCTATGCCAGCCTTTTCCTGGAATTTCTCTTGTAATAATGAGCTGTGAGTTTTTGATAACCAATATTCAGACCAACCTCTTACCTTATGTTTATGTATATGTAGTTTTTATTATTAATATTTGTCTTCTGTGATGGTTTCACATAAAAATTAGAATAAACATACTTTGATTATACTATTGTGAATCCTTTTAAATCAGGACATGTAGGTATCACAGCTTTGAAAACATAACAGTAACTCATTCCAGGGAGAAGATGTTCTCCGTATTTTACTGCGTCTTAGAAGTTACGTGTCTTTCCTTGATGGTGTTAACCAGGGTTCTCCCCTGCTCTGCCTGCTTCCAGCGCTCTTCCTGCAGCAGTGCCACTTCCTGCGCCAGGCTGGTCACTTGGAGAAGGCCGTCTCCTTGTTCCAGGCCATGGTTGACTTCACCTTCTTCAAACCAGACAGTGTGAAAGATCTGCCCACCAGGGGACAGGTAGGTACAGCTCTGCTTTCCTGTTCTCTCCCTCCTCCCTCTCCCCCTCTCTCCTTCCCTCCTCTCTCTTTTGGGAGAGGTGTGGATCATGGGAGGTGGTGGTAGAATTATTAAAAAATGTATCTTCCTTTATATCAGACCTGCTGAGGATTTTTTCTCAGAAAGATTCTAGCAATCCAAGGAAAATTCCCTAATGAAAGTAGTGAAACATGGGCGATGAAAGAAGCCCCCCCT